GAGTATGGTGAAGATTGAATGTGATATATTCATGTAACATGCTTGAAACTGCCTGGCATATAGTAAACGCTAAATAAATGCATGCTAACTGCTATCATTACGTTACCTTGTTTCATGGAGGTGGGGACAAAGAAATTACAATTTAGATGCCAGGAACAATAAGGTGTCCAATAGGCCCAGAGGGGTTAAGAAGGCAGCAAGGAGCTCTTCCCAGTCCCTGGGCCACCATTGCTGTGTGGCAACTATGTGTCACGAGGCCCCACCTGTGCTGCACACAGCAGGGTGAGTACACCCTAACCCTTGCCCTGCCGCTTCCTGCCAAGGCTGTGGCCGCCCCACCTGCTGTTCATTCTTTCGCATTAAGGCACTCCAACTGCATTTAACCCCAACTACCAACTAACAGAGACCGACCAGCAGTGTCTCTAGGACAATAACCAACCCAGTGTTATTTTTTGGAAGGCTTATCTTCCCTACCCAAACAGGAAAAGCACTTTGATGCAAATTTATCAACTCTTAAAAAGGCAAGCTTAGGAAGCTGGAGCAGCTTCTGGCCTTGTTTTGTCGGCTTCCTCTGGGTCCCACGTCTCTGCATGGCCAAGGGGGCTGTAAGATCTGGGAATCCCTTTCAAGACCATTGGAAGGAAAAACCACTTCTGATAAACCTTCTCTGCCTTGGAGAACAGAGTATTCTCTTAAGTTTTGCCTTCGAAGGTCAAAACAATTCCTCCTTTTCTTTTAGCAGAACCACTAGTGGACAGCAGGTGGCAGCCTGGCTTATGCTAAAGCCCAGTACCTGCTCGGAGACACGAGGTTGGAACCTAAGTCATTTAATAGAGTGAAGAATTATTGAAATTTTAGTGTTGTACACCTTTAAAGGACCAGGAACTCAAAGATGCTGTCAGATCCTCCTTCCTCAGTATCAAGGATATGTTAACTACTAAATCTACCCTAATAATGTTGTATATTTTAATAGAAGAGCTTTCAGGGAAAATGCTTCAACCATTTCATAATGCTCAGTGAAGTTTTGGTTCGGGGCGGGGGGCAAGAAAGTGAGCATATCGTAAGGCCAGAAAAGTAAACGAAGTCCATAAAAGGAAGGAGTTGGAGCAAGGATCTGGCAGAAACCCCAATCACTATGGGAAGTTTGAGGAAATGATCTACAGGAGCAACAGCATCTCAGCGAAGCCTCTAGAGGATGCATCGTTGGCCTCTTTTTAACGGAACACCAAGGCTAGAAAAGCAAACGGCCACTTGCCCACGCTACATGGCAAATGGCACAACCAAGATCTGAAACTACGCTTTTCATTTCCAGGTAGTGTAGCAAGGCAGGGACGTGGGACAATAGGATGGCAGTGACACGAGGCTGCATGCTCGGGCATCTTCTTTCCTGCCCCTCCCTGACCCATGCCATCAGCAGCAGCCCTACATGAGTGAGCCAGGCCGGCCCTGTTTCACCACATCGAACAGATGAAGGCAGAACAGATTTGTACATTAGATAGGGTGTTGGGGGGCAGCGCTGGCTAGCAAATGGTTCATGTCCTCTGAGGGAAGGACAAAATGAAACACTACAATTAATGCAGAATATTCAAGAAGTGGATGTTGTTTCTGGGATGATTTTAGAGTAACACTACCCAGAGGCTTCTCTCGGCAACCGGAGCCCTAGCACTCTGTAAAGTCAGAACCCAAACTTATCCTTAGCTACCTCCTTTACAACATGCACGTAACATCACCTGAGTAACAGGAGCCATACAGACAGCTTTTAGTAAGAGACTAGGAAAAGACAAAGTGGTTTATTAGTAGGCTTCAGCTTATATTGTTTGTTAAAAGCAGGAAATGATCCAGTGTCCATACCCAGATAACGTATGGGACACTAAAATTGTATCTATACTCAAAAATGAGAATTCAGAGTAAACATAGTCCCAATATTGAAAATTCCCTTCCAAAAACTAAATTTACCTAAGGCAAAAGGGTTGGCATTTCCTTTTATTTCAAAGACCAATTGAACCAGATCCTCTTCTAACATAGAAGGGACTAGGTTAATGAGCCCAAAAACCTTTAAGTCAATGTACATGAGACTTTTTAATCAGAATAATAAACTTAAGTACAGAAAGAAATGTTTTCTTCTTGGATTTCCCCTTCACTCTTTTCTCCAATACAGTGCTGGCACTACATTCTTAAACTTCTTAAGCTTCAGTTTCCCCATCTATAAAATGAGAGTGAAAATAATCCTGACTGGCTCAAAGGGTTGTGATTATGATCACATGACATCAGCAGTTCTCCAACACATCCTTTGGCATCAAGTGTTACATCAGAGACTATTTTTATAAACTTCAATAATAAATTGAGAACTGTCCCTTAGAGTTGCTCTCCCCTCCATTCTAAACCTGGTCCAAATCACGATGAAAGCTTGAGTTAGGAAACAGGAGTTGGGCATAAGCATTTGATTTGTGCATCCCAAATGGGAAGTTTCCAAAAGTTTCTTGAATCTCAGTGTCTAAATTACAGCTTCAAAAAAGTGTCAAAAGCTAAGGGGAGGTAAGCTGAATGGCAATAAAAAATACACAACAGAAGTTCACATTTCATTTGGTTCTTTTTATTAGAAATTGAGAATACAGCAAGTAGGGAAATCCCACATCAACGGAACCATCACACAGATCCCCTTCTGGAACCCCAACCTTCTATGATCCCCAAAAATGTGCTTTGTGGCTTTAGCAATTTATAAAGGGGAAGAGGGAAAATACTGAAAAAGGCCACTATTTAATGGTGAAAGAATGAAGCTGCAGAGGTCCCAACCAGCCTAGGGCCAAAAAAGAAAATTAAAAATCTGCACAGAGCAAGCAAGCCTCTGACTGCTGAGAGTAAGGCATTCAGGCGCCAACCTGGTGAGAGTTCTCAGCGAGCACTCAGGACAAGTGCACGAGGCTGTTGGTAGTGAGTTGCACGTAGACGCACACATAGAAATGGGCACAAACATGCCCACATACACACCCAAAAGAGGGAGATCTTCCTGGATTACACATCAGTGATGTTAATTTCATTTTTCCGAAGGGTTTGTGCTATGTTGAACCAGATTCTTCCAGCTTTGGGGTGTGGGTGACTGCGCCCAGAGGCTGCTACTTCTGTTGGTGTTGTGACAGGGCTGCATCTATACCCTGTATCCCAAAGTGCATGACCGAAGTGCAAGTCTGGCTTCTGATATGTGCTGTTGCTCCCATGAAACTAAGTGGGCTTCTGTCCAGATGGCCACTGTCCTATTGGACTATGCTTTCTCAAAGGGATTAATACTGTTTTTTATTCTGTCAGGCACTGCACCAGCTCATCCACTGAGTCTTTTACTTGGTCCACCTAGCACCCAGGGCAGTGACCCTATCCAAAATACTCAAGATCTTCTCAACTTCTACACTAGATTCTCCCTTCCTGGATCCCAGCTTTTGCTGGAGATTGGAAGGGGAAGGGAGGAAAATAACTTGAGAAAACTCACTGAGTAAATAGGAGACCCCTCCCATATTCCCAAACACCTATTGAGGATGCCAATCCCCATGCCCAGGGCCTCACCGTTTAGTTCTAATACCCACAATCCTAGGATATAATGGGGTCATCCCAAGTCTTTGACTTGAGTCTAAGACTCAAGTGCTATTTAGGGGGTTCACCAATGGGCTAAGATCAGAATTCCATGAACCAGATCCTTTCCCTACCACTTTCTCTTGACACTGTATCAGGTAGGCCTGGGACGTGAGCCATCGTCTTATACCTCACCCCCTGGCAGTAACATACCATTGTCTTCAAAATGCCACACCATACTATCCCTGCAAATTGGGGTTCAGTGAGTGCTGACAACTCCGATGGGTACTGCACCTGGCTTTAAAAGAGTTCTGCTGGCTTTCCTTTCAAGGAGGGCCGAGATGTCTGTCACATCTAGCTAGGCTTTCCAAGACAGTGTACCAGAGGTAAAACCCCTCTTTCCTAAATCCAAAGGAGGGTCTCCCAATCTATGTAGATGAGCTCAGGAGAAACCTGGACACATCAGAATCTCATTTGTGGCTGGCTCCATGACAAGAAGTATAAAATATTTCTATTCCCTCAAGGAGGAAGGGTACTTAGGGCAGTGATTTTTAATAGTGGGAATTCTGAGAGTGTTCCAGAGCTCCACAGCAAGGATATGGAAAACTGTCACATCCCTCTAGTAAGACTAACCATAAAAGTGAGCAGGATGCCAGGAAGCAATCGGATCAGCCGTGCTAATGTTTCTGGAGCTCTTCCATGGTCTCCACTGCCCCTTTACCAGCTGGTAAGAGTGCAGAGCTCTATAAGTCAGTCTCTCAAATGACAATGACACCCTAACTAGAGACTTTATCTAACACATATTGGCAGCCATTCATGTGTTGCTTCCACTGAGAACACACATACCACTCCCTTCTACCTCAGGCCCTCCAAAGGCTCGCAGGCTTAACAGTGGTCATGTGATCACTGGGCTAGGGCTATACTCTCTGCCTCACTAGGGTCCAAGGTATGTCAGCCTTTAGAAGGCACCTTGGTGCACCAAGACACTGTACATTCTGGGGCTATCACTTGATCCCCCTACAGTCACTTTTGTGCAAAATTCAAACAGTGTGTGGTACCTGCATGTTTCATTCTATACAAAAATTCTCCCTCCCTCCCTACCCCTATGTTTTAAACATTTATATAAAGTCTTAAACAGTAAGTTAGAAATCTTATTTACATTAATTTTTTTGTTCTCCCAAAAGAGAATTTAAAATCACACTCCCACCCTTTATTGGATATAAATGTTCACCTAAATTGGTTTGTATTATTTTATATGGAAAGAGAAAGGGAGAAGAAGAACCACCAGCTAAACTGTTTCGCCATCTTCTACAAATAAATATGATATGGATCAGAAGCCAGTTTGCCAAGGGTCTTGCAGAGCCCACAATCGGTAGATCCCAAGAATAAGCCAGGGTTTGGGCTGTGTCTCCTGTCCTCCCAATTGATGCACTCTGTCCTTTGAGGTATGATTTATTTTTGTTTTTCTCTTCTCAGTCATGTACCACACAGAGCCCCTGGGCCGTCACAAAGCCCGCGAGGGTGTCAGAGTTTTGGGGCTCCTCTGGTACTGGCATCAGTAGCCAGCAGAGAGGCCTGCAAGTGCTGCAGGACCTGGTTTAGGGTCACAGTCCCTGGCTACTGGTAGGTATCACAGTGCATCCTCTTCACTGCAGCCCCCGCCGATCATGAAACGAAACTCCTGGAGGTTTGAGACACCATGGAAGTGAACGAAAGCTCCAGCAACCACAAAGATATGAAACAGCTGATGAGAGTGAAACTGGAGGGGAAAAAAAGAGAGAAGGGGTTAGAGAAACCCATACATTATTAAGACTGCTAAAGATTCTTAGAATCGTTTAATCGTGGTTTAAGCTGAACAGAAGGCAGGGAATGGATATGACAGAGCTCAAATTCAAGATGTCCACAGATCCTGGAATATCCATTAGGTGTATCACATTCTGCTGAGCTGAAAGCCAGCTGTTCCCAAAGAAATCAAGGTGCTGCCACTAAGCTCTAGACATAAAAATCTACATACTTAACACTGGAACCAGTGGCAAATGACATACAGACTCTCTTGCTAACAGGCCACAAAGATCCCAAGGATCCCTTGACACCTAGCCATGGGCTACGATTACACATACAGTCCTTTTCCTACCCACTGCTGATGGATATTTTGTCACAGACAAGAGGACTAGAGCTATGGTCATTTAAATATTGCTCTCTGTTAGAAAAACTAAAGAGGCTTCCAGGATCGAGTGTGGAAGGTCACAACATATGGTCCCTAGAGTTTCTCCTTCAGTGCTATGATTCTGAAATTTCATGAACATAATGTATCAAAAGACTACGCAAACAGGCCCTTTTAATTCTCAAGTCAGAAGCTGGTCTAAAGCCTGTGACATTATTTCTGGTTTTACCTATTCTGTTGAATACTATTTCACATCTCAAGAAGGGTAATCAACAGCTCACTGCATTTCAAAAATTACACTATTCTCTCATTATAATCTCAAAATGAAAAAGTACAGTGGCAAAGCAGTATTTATCAAGAGAAAGATACTGATTTTAGAAGCAAAAAACTAGAAGAAATCAAAAGTCACATCCCAAAGGATGCTCCTTAGGACACCAAAAGGGAATAATTTCTCCAAAGCAAGGGGATAAAGGGCAAAAATCCCTCCATACCAATGTCAAAATTATGATGATGCAATCAGAAAATTAGCTGATTTGAAGCTAAAAAAATTGCTTAAGTTCAAGATCATCTTCATTTTACAGAGAGCTAAACTTTGAAGATGAGATGATCAGCTTAGTCTATAATAATCAGCAATAGTCTGATGAGCAGAATCCCAAAGGTCAGATTTCACATTAAGCAGATTTCCAATTTTGTCATGTGGAAAATGTTTCAGGCCCTCTTCAGTTATAAGTTTTTCCATCTCTCAGTGCCTTATATTTTCTTTTCCCCCTTCTTTATCCTCCCCTCTTACCAATAACCACGATCCAGTTCAATCCACTTCCCTCTTCTTCGCAATCCTTCTTCTTCTACCAGACATATATACACTCAGTCTCTCATTACAAATCACTAAATTTTGGTATTAAAAAAGACCTTGGTAGATATCTGGTCCTAAAAAGGACTCTGGTAAAAATCTGGTCTATCATCCTCATTTCATAAATAAGGAAACTGAGACAAAGAATGGCAAAATGACTTTCCATTGTCAAAAGGAGCACAGATTCTGATATTAAAACTAGCCTAACTGAAATTCCAGTTCTACCACTTAATAGCCACATGGCTTGAACAAGTGGCCTCAGCTCCCTAAGCCTTAGTTTCCTGACTTGTAAAATGAAGACTATACGAGTTATCATAACATACAGGGTTAATGTATTAAATGAGGTAATCCATGCATAGGGCTAATGTATTAAATGAGGTAATTCATGCAAAGCACTCTGTACTATGCCAAGCATCAAGAAAGTGTCCACTAACTGTTAGTTCTTATTGTCCAGAGAATGACAGCTAAATAGGGAGTTAGGACGAGAATACAACTCTCCTAATTTTGTGTCTAAAACTTTTTCTATTGCATCACTCCGCAGTGTGCCAGTAACCCATAAGCAGATACCTACACACACTCAGTCACCCCTGACATACTTACCCAGATGTCACATTTGCCAGGAAAGAAGCGTTCAGGGATCCGGGCAGCATACAGGGCAGCTCCTGTGATGTAGAGACTGGCCATCAGCATCAACCAGCCTATCTGCCCTATGGTGGCAGCCTTGAGGAACCCCTCTGAGATGACATAGTGCAAGGTAGGAATGATTCCACTCAGGCCTAGGCCCAGAAACACTCCTAGGAGTCACAAGAAGAGAGTAAAGTAATGCAGAAGAGAAGTAAAGAGCAAGAAGTCAATACTACAGCACAGTACCATTAACTCTGTAAACTGAATATTTCAAAGCAGCATACAAAATTAGCTTCCAGTTTTAAAGGAAAAAGAAGGCTTCTCAAACTCTGGAACACTGTCATGAAAGACAACACAGCTATGTTCTCAAGATTTACAAATGCAAGAAGCCAACCAGACATGGTGGTTCTCACCTGTAATCACAGCAATTTGGGACACTGAGGTGGAGAGATCATCTGAGGTCAGGAGTTCAAGACCAGCTTGGCCTAACATGATGAAATAAATACAAAAAATACTAAAAATACAAAAAATTGGCCAGTCGTGGTGGCCAATTACACGCCTGTAATCCCAGCTACTTCGGAGGCTGAGGCAGGAGAATCACTTGAACCCGGGTGGTGGAAGCTGCAGTGTGCTGAGATCACACTACTGCATTCCAGCCTGGACAACAAGACCAAAACTCTGTCTCAAAAAAAAAAAAAAAAAAAAAAAAATGCAAGGAGCCTTGCTAGGAGAGACTTAGCTTAATAGGTCAGCAGTCTTCAAGGGTTTTGAATTAATGTTGCTAAATTTTTTGGAAAGGATACCTCCAAGAGTTTATTTAAACTGTCCTAGCCTGTCCTTTTACAGACACAGGTTACAACACAAGCAATTTTACATTTCTCATCTTCTCTTTGAAGTAACAGATGTTCCAAGGGTAGAGAAGCAATGAATGATCATATCACCTGGTATCACCTATTTTTAATAGTAATCTAAAGCTTGGCACAGTGGCTCACGCCTGTAATCCTAGCACTTTGGGAGGCCGAGGCAGTCAGATCACTTGAGGTCAGGAGTTTGGCCTGATCAACATGGTGAAGCTCCGTCTCTACTAAAAATACAAAAATTAGCTGGGTGTGATGGTGCATGCCTGTAATCCCAGCTACTCAGGAGGCTGAGGTTGCGGTGAGCTGAGATCGCGCCATTGCACTCCAGCCTGGGTAACAAGAGCGAAACTCCGTCTCCAAAAACAAAACAAAACAAAACAAAAAAAAAAAAAAAAAAAAAAAAAAAAAAAAAAAAAAAAAAAAACGACCTAACAGGGGAGGGGGAGGGGGAGAGAAATGTTTCTGAAAGCTCCCAGGCTCTTAAATATCAATCAAGTACGGAAGTCTGGCAAATCACTCAGCCACAGCCCTACTGCCTAACTGCATCTAAAAGCATCTAAAGTAATGTTTTTTAAACTTCTGGATATGACCTAAGTTTTAAGATCAATTAAATGAGTCTCAACCAGCATTTTTTTAAATGAACTGGAATAAAATTTAAAATATCAGACTGTAACATAAGTGGAGGATTAAATATTATTTTGTAAAAATTGTGTACTTTATTACATACATGAACTTATGTACAGATACACCTGTTCAGGACTGTAATAGACAATGTCATGAGAAAAAAAAAATTGAAGTCCACTGATCTAAATCCACTTTGAAACTTGTCTATCAGCCAAAGCAACACAGGAACTCCTGGCCTCAAACAATAACTGCTCCTACATTTTGACACAGAGTTAACAATGACCCTTGCAAAACAAGCTGTCATGTGATAAGCTTTCTCAACAGATGAAGAGCCTATTGCTTGCTTTGGATGCTAGCAAATAAACTGAACTGCTGGTATACAGCAATATATGTAGGCACAGATACAGGATGCATACTCACAAATAAAATGGGCATCTGAAAGAGAAGAGGAAAATGGTAAAGCTGCTCTCACAAAAGATAAGAAGCAAGCACGCCTAAAGAAAAACAATTTCCTACCTCTGCTCCTCTAAGGAATTATTAACGTGATGTCCCGTCACTTGTTCTTTTCCTCTACATGCTAAGCAAACGCTGCTAGTGGTTTCTGCCTATAATTCTCTAAGTCAAACGCTCAGGAACTTGGTTTTTCTGATGTATATAAATAGCAGAATGCTCAGCTCTACTCAGCAAAGACATTCTTATCTCATGTGCTCAAGCAGGCTTAACACCACTGTACTACTCAAGAACTGTTGAAAGCTGGCCCTGACCGATGCTCATTTGTGCATATGAACACAAGAAGGAGGAGGGCAGAGTATTCTAACAGTCACTGACATGAAGTTACTTCCATATCTAACCTTCCAGGTACTTGCACATGATCCAGGGGTTAGATTTTAATACTAAATGGTTTTTGAGGTTTTTTAAAAAATGAAAGGAAAAATACAAGAAGACTCAGCCAAGGCACCGAGGGGCTTGTGGCTTTCTCTATGATCTCCAGCTAAACAGCCATTATCCTAAATATAAAAAGCCCCTTAACCCTGTACCAGAAGGGAGATATAGTGCCCACTTTAACAAAACACTATCAGTATGGGGGTAAAGGCTTACTTAAGTGTATTATCCATTATAAAATTAAAATATAAAAAACAGAAAATGACAACAAAAGAAGAATCACTACAAAGAGTACACTCATGCTGAATAAGAGAAATCATTGTTTACTTTACAAAAGTTACAGACTACCACTTTCTGGATGATGTTTAGCCATAAACTCAAGTAAGTAACACTTCCAAATTACATCACCTCATACTCAACACGGCCCCTCAACTTTAATGCTGTAAGACAATTAATGAACACTACTTACTACTACTGCTACTGCTGCTACTGCTACCACTACCACTACAACATTAAAAACCCCTCAACAACAGGAACTATGATTTATTCATCTTGGCATCACAAATATACGACATTATGTTTGGCAAACGGTAGAACTTCAATAAATGACTAGTGAATAAATGAATGTCAAATGTAGAACCTCCGCGTGCTCTTACCTGCTCTTACTCCCCGATACTGAGGGGTAGCAAACATGTCCCACTGGGAGACTATAATGGCTGCAATGCCCAGCACACAGATGACAATCAAGTAGATGAAGCAAGGTTGTGGATTACAGTAGAAAGAATAATAAAGCCAAGGAACAAAACTCCCCATAATCAGAAGAGCAATACCAGAGTAATCCAGTCTATGATAGAAAAAAAAAAAAAATTCCATTTAATGCAATAATTTAAAAATTACTAGCCACTACAGGTTCCAATTAATTCCTCATGACATAAGTGATCAACAACAGCTAAGAGGCAAATTGGGTTGCTCTTTAATTTTTTTTTAAGTTTCCATGAGATGGTATTAAGAATTCTGCCAACTCTGCTAAATGTTTTTCCCTAATGCTTTACCTCTAAATCATTGACCAAAATATGGATTTTAGAGATACTTACTTAGAGAAGATCCGGGAGACCCCCTCTGAGTGGCAGTAGACTGTGTGGAAGAGCCATGAAAAAGAAAGGCAGAGAATGGCTCCTAAGAAAAATAATCCAAAGACCACCTTCTCTTGCAGAGGGGCCACAAAGGAGATATTTGGGCGAAACATATAAAAAATCCCCAGGCACAAGAAGAATACACAACCTAGGAAAAAGAGTATAGAAAACAGATAAAATATCACCCTTCAGAAGAGAAAGAATTATATACTGATTCTGTTTTCAATCCTTCAGAGTTACTACAATATCTGAATCACAAGTTCCATGAGAAAAATTTTCCAAATAACTGAAGCTTATACAAAATTGTGCTTTACTTCCAACATTGTTGGTATCATAAATAGTTCAGCTTCATAAACTGAGTATACAGAATATAAAACTTATCTAAGGGCATAATCCAAAAAGAAATCAGATAGTGCTGCTACTTCTTAGAAGTAGCATAATGAAGCCACTTCTACCTCTAGATGTAGAATGAGGTTTCATTTATAAAGATTTTGGCACATACTGTACATCATAGCCCAGCGTTCAAAGGTGCATTGTGCTTTTGCTTCTGTTTTTACAATAAATTCCAATACCCCTAAACCCTGCCAAGAAATACAGCTTTCCTCTACCAATAGTGGTCAGGGAGCATTAGGTTGCTTCTCTGGTCCTCACCAGCTGGCTCAGTGAATTCAAGAGGTAAGAACCGTAAAAGGCCTGCCTACTCAGGCCATTTCCTAACCAATTCTTAAACTGTTCTCCAGAGAAAGATGCCATGTTCCTAGTGCTTAGGGAAGGGCCACCTAACACAAGGAAGGCACAGAAATTTCAAGTCCAACATTTGCTACATGATTCTGTTTTACCATTTTAATTAAAACTTACCCTCGAATTAGAATTCAACAAGAAATTTGATTTGACTCTCTACTCTCACTATACTAACAGACAGGAACTTAGAGGCACTACGGAAATCAAATGTGTGATAAGAAATGCAAGTCAAATGGAATAAGGCCAAAAACTAGTATATTTTCAAAAGGTTGTACAATCATCACCACTACCTAATTCCAAAATATTTTCATCACCCCAAACAGAAACACTATACCTGATATCATCCCCCATTGCCCACTCCTCACAGTCCTAAACAACTGCTAATCTACTTTCTGTCTTTATGGATTTTCCTGTTCTAGGCATTTCATGCATGTAGAATCAAACAACATGTCACCTTTTGTGTCTGGCTTACTTCGCTTAGCAAATGTTTTCAAGGCTCCCCCATGTTGTGGCGTGTATCAGTGCTTCATCCCTTTTTGCCGCTAAATAGGGCTCCAGTGTATGAATATACCATATTTTGTTTATCCATTACCAGTTGACAAGACATCTGGGTTGTTTCAACTTTTTAGCTATTGTGAATAATGTTGCTGTAAACTTTTGTGTACAAGTTTTTATGTGAACATATTTTCAGTTATCTTGGGCAATATACTAGGGGTGGATTTCTGGTAACTGTTTAACTTTTTGAGGAACTGCCAAACTTTTCCATAGGGACTACCCCATTTCACATTCCTACTGGCAATGTATGGAAGTTTCAGTTTCCTCACATCCTTGCCAAGACTTGTTTTTCATTATAGACATCCTAAGTGGGTGTAAAGTGGTGAGATTTCTCGATGCATTTCTCAAAGCATTTGATTTGCATCTTCTTAAATGCCTAATGATGATAAACATCTTTTCGTGTGTTTATTGACCATTTGTAGATCTTCTCTAGCAGAACATCTATTCAGACTTTTTACCCATTTTTAAAACCGGTTATCTTTATTGTTGAGTTATATATTAGATCCTTACCAACTAGTTGATTTGTCAATATTCTCTCTCATACTATGGGTTGGTCTTTTCACTTTCTTAATAATGCACTTTGATACAACAACGTTTTTAATTTTGATGAAGTCCCATTTATCTATTTTTTCTTTGCTTATGTGTTAGGTGGCAATTCTAAGAAACAGTCACCTAATCCAAAGTCACAAGGATTTGTATCTGTTTTCTCCTACAGATTTCATAGTTTTTGCTCTTATGTTTGGGTCTTTGAGTACACTTTTGTATATGATGTGAGTTTGAGGTCATTCTTTTACATATGATCAGCTGTCCCAGCACCATTTGCTGGAAAGACTATTCTTTCCTCTATACTACTCTTTCTTTAATATACAATCATTATGGAGGAAAAAAAATTATAGTTCATATTCTACTTCAGACCAAACTAAAAATTAGCACTGTGTAAAAGTAATGAATTTGAAAAGATCAGATTACTTCTATTAAATACTATATTCTTCTCAGTGGTCACTAAAATATGAAATCACATTTTGTATATCAACTTTTTCTTGGCCTGGTTTGAAGACAATATCTGAAAATCTAGTAGAGAGAAATGTGACTTAAGTTGTAACAAGATCATAGTGCAAACCAGGATAGTCTAGGAGTAAATCAGTGAGAAAATTCATCATTAGAAATTCATAAAACAAAATGGCAAATCCAAATACATTTCTGAAGTTCTGTCCCTTACCTTTGAATACATGAATATAAAAAGGAATAAAGTGAATTGCCAGCTCATTATATCGCTGACATTACATACCTAAGAGATGTGTCCAGATGTTGCCTGTTTCTGTGTGTATTCTGAAAATGCTCTTAAAACAGGCCCGGAAAGAAGGCATAGGAGGTCGGTGTCCATGTAAAAGAAAGTCGTTATCCTTGAGCCAGTCTGGTAGTACATCATGAGGGATCACTCGCCACCGACCTTCCCATACCTGCCAGAGGAGTATTATCAAACATCTTTGTGATTTTAGTTGTCAACTTAGCAACACTGAACCCAACAACTATGTCTTACCACACTGCTTCACAATGGGAAAAATAACTCATTTTTTCAAAGGTAAGTATCTCAAAATATATAATGTCTTATATTCTGAGTTCTTTAAAAAGACTGATGAAAAAGATATTTTTAAGTGGGGGCCTTAGGAAAAGGAAAAAGTAAACAAATGTATAGAACATGCCCTAAAGAGTGGTTTCGAGCTTTGTTTCAGTCTGGCTGACAGTGGGTTGAAGGTTCCAAAGTCTCACTCATCCAGGCCCCCTTCATCCTATATAACAGACTTTACCTCTGATAAATCCTTGTGGTATTAAATATGAACATCTTTATATTTAATATTCCTGTTGGTAAAAAAAGAATTACATAGAATCACAATTTTGTGCCTTTTGCTAAAATCTCTCCCTCCACCTTACTTTCTTCTCTTCCTACTACACAAATATGATAAAGCAGAAAAGAAAGTACAGGAGTCAGAAAATTGTGGATCCCTGACATTAACTAGCTGTATGATTCTTAATTAACTATAAAACCTCCAAGCTGCAATTTCTTCATTTGTAAAACAGCGCTTCAGTTACTTCATAAGGAAATCATGAAGATCAAACAAAATGACACAAAGTATTTCATGAATTAATTAGTAATCCCTGGCATCTACTCCAAGGCAGTACATGACTGACCCCAGAGGCTATCACCTGTCGGAGTTAGTGACATACCCACCCTCCTTCTCATGCTGCAGAGAGATGGCAAAGAAGCCCAGTCTTAACTGCCCTTCCAGTCCCTCAGCGCCCTTTCCTCCCTTTTCCTCATGGTCCCTCCCACATCAGATTCTAGAGGAAAAGGGATCAGGGAGCCAATATCTCTTCTGTAGGAAGTCTGTGAATCTCTGCACTCTGCTTCTTTTAATGTCTCAAAGCCCCAAAAGCTCACACCGCAAGGACTACTTAATCTTGAACTAACTTGCTTCTGCTAGACCCGAAGATGCAAGGAAAAATGCCAGGCACATGGTCTATCTTCCAGTTAATGTGGGCTCAGCAGTCCTTCCAGTCTATCACTCTATAAGGCAAGAATCCAGGCTACCAATCAGCAAGATTCACCTTGAGACAATGACCTCCACCCTTTCCCCTACAGGGGTCTTGTGACAAACAATATGGCTAAACCACTGAAAGTTCCTCTCTACTCTGTGGAAAGATTACCACTTATTCACCAGCTACTGTGCCCATTCCTTTTGCTCCACAACCTGTTTCTTGTTCTCTGCTCTCTATGTAACATCTCTACCTCCAAAGGAAGTGAGGACTAACAATTTAAGAACAGATGTGTCCCTCTTAACACTCTATCCAAACTAGCCACCCCACCGCTGCCTCTTCCCTGCTCTTTCTGCCCCCAGCCTACATACCTGTCCTCCCTCCCTTTGAACTTAAAACTTGGGGCCTACAGTTTCTGCTGTTAATCTGGTCATTCTATGCTTGTTCCTAACATATGATAAAATAAAATAGTGCAAAAGACTAATCTAGATTTTTAACATCTACTGCCAATAGTACTACCACTTACAAAAGTATGAGATTTTTCACAGGACTTTATGGAGAAAAAGAAAGAACAGGGATCAGGGATCTAGTATCCCTTCTGTTGGAACTGCTGGATGTCTGTCAACCTCCGCAGCCTGCTTCTTTTAGTGTCAGAGAGAGAGACCAAGATACTGCATTTTTTGCATCAAATTTGTTTGGGAAAAGACCACTATTGTTGAGATTAACCTTACAAAATGTTGCTACTATCTTACTTTCGGGGAATTTTTCTTCTCCCCTGAAACGGAGTCTTGCTCTGTCGCCCAGAGCTGGAGTGCAAAGGCACGATCTCGGCTCACTGCAACATCCGCCTCCCAGGTTCACGCAATTCTCCTGCCTCAGCCTCCCGAGTAGCTGGATTACTGGCATGGGACACCATGTCCGGCTAATTTCTGTATTTTTAGTAGAGACGGGGTTTCACCATGTTGGCCAGGCTAGTCTCAAACTCCTGACCCACCCGCCTCAGCCTCCCAAAGTGCTGGAATTACAGGCAGGAGCCACTGCGCCCAGCAGGAATCTTCTAAGAGAAAGAGGAGGATAGAAATCGACCCTTACATCTTCAAGGCAATTCACAATGTGCACACAGCTCTGCTGTATCAAAAGTGCTACTCTGCTACCCTACACAGTCAGAAGAGTCATATGTTCCCTTTGTACATTTGAAAAGAATATGTGAGTTTCTTACTGGTTATGTATGCATATAATTTCAGAGTGATTTTCCCTGTTATTTCTAAACAAACGTTCTAGGGGTCTACATACTGAGCCAAAGAGCTGTACTTTCTTAACATTGCAATTAGTGACACATTCAACAGACAGTGCACCCTCACTCTCAACCTGAAGTCATATACAGTCAGCCAAATTCCAACACAAATAGATATCCTCGTTTATCCCCTAGAATAAAAAAAACAGGATCATAGCTTAGCCAAAGACATATTTATTTATAAGCTTGACAAAGACACTGCCTACCTTCAAATACCTTATCAATAATCTACTGGGTATGTGAGTATATTATAACATAAAATGTACAAAAATATTCCTTTAAAAAAGAAAACAACAAATGGTGTGTGGCTCATGCCTGTAATCCCAGCACTTTGGGAGGCCAAGGTGGGCAGATCACAAGATCAGGAGATCCAGACCATCCTGGCCAACATGGTGAAACCTCGTCTCTACTAAAAATACAAAAATTAGCTGGGCATGGTGGAGCGTATCTGTAATCCCAGCTACTCAGAGAGCTGAGGCAGGAGAATCACTTGAGCCAGGGAGTCAGAGGTTGCAGTAAGCCAAGATCACGCCACTGCACTCCAGCCTGGCAACAGAGCAAGACTCCATCGCAAAACAAGCAAACAAACAAACAAATTGCCCACAGCACACATCCTATTCCCACATGGGCCTGGTTATGCTGGTAAATAGCAAAAACTGAAGTCTAGGAGAAAAAAAGAGTGACCAAGATCAAACATAAAAACAAAGACTAAATTATTCACAGCACATTTCACATTAAACTGTCTCTGTTTACTTGCTTCCAATCCAAGAAATAGAATCCCTGTGTTACTAGATAGGCTAGTTTTCAAGTGTGGTCAGTTGCACTGCCACGGCAGGGTAGAGCCACACCAGAGAACACTGTGTAATAGGATGCCTCTTCATTCTGCTGTCATAAACAAACTGCTAAGGGATATTTACAACATTCCTTCTTCTTCAGTAGGTCATAGTTTGTAGCAAACAAATGTCCTGCCCTATTTATTCTCTCATTCACTGTTAAATTTAGAGTTTTATTTGCTTTATTCTTTGCTCTCTGTTCAGAAAGGTAGGACAAAAAGGCAGTTAAGTCAGCTACAGTACCCCACTGATATATAAATATTAAAATTCTCTAATGGCCCAGTTAATAAATTTTCCAACTTTGAGAGATTTCTTCACACCAAATTTGCGTTTTAAAAAACAAAATAATCTTTTGTATTCCTTTGTACTATTTATCCTGAGACAGTGATCACTAGAATGAATCTACTGTTTTGTTCAGTTGTTTCTTATTTTCAAAATGGCTAAAATTTTCTATTACAGACCCATAAATGTTTAAACCCCCCCTGAAACCCAATGGACCCTTAAGTCTTGGAAAGGATGTCTATGTTCAGATCACAATGTGCTCTTTTCAAACCCTGGACCAAAGTATAGTATTCTATGTCCACTGATCCCAATTACTTCCAGCATCACTGTGAATGTAAGAAAACCTATGTTTAGTTTCCTGGATCTAAGACCATGTGCATAAAAAGTTTTGGTTTCATAAAAGCCATGAAAAGCTAAGTCTCACAAAAATTTCTCTCTAAATAATAAAGAGTTCTCCAGAAATGTTTAATAAATCAATTTATATACACATACACATACAGACAGACTGACTTATGTTGATTAGATCCTACCTGCCAGGGCCCTTATTGATCTGACTGATCAAGTACCTACAAGTTTACTAGTGTGTCTATTTTCTCTAAGCAGGCAAACTTAATTATAGTTACTACTTTAGAAAAAAAGAAAAAAGGATCCTATAATAGGTCCTTGGCAATCAGACAATGAACTGGAAGAAAAACCTTTGAGACCGAATATATACCAGCTGCACTGAAAATACCAATGTGCATGAAAACTGGAAAATTTTTCTCTCAAGAGTAGCCTGATTACCCATAGAATCCCTAGAAAGAACAGAACGTTTACCATTGTAGTCAATCAGCAGAACAGATTCAAGGGACCTGAGGAGGGCATTTTAATATCTCCAGGCATAAACCACCCCTGATTATGTTTCATCCTGTTTGTCTAAACCATCAATAAGACATTTACTCCATTAACCTACATTAGGAAATGTTTGTTTCCCAGCTGGATATCCTAATTTTATCAGAGCTTTATCATGGCTACTGCAAGCAAACAAATATATCTTCAATAGGGTTACGGTCTGAAGACCACTTCTGTCCCCATCTTGCCACACATCTTCCCCAAAGCAAACCAAACACTCTCTTTAAAGGTTTCTGTTTGGGAAGGGCTACTATATAGCATGACAATGACAAGAAATTGCACTCTTACCTTACAAACAAATTCTTCCATTTTTTCCATAGCATGATGGGCTTGTAAGAGAGGGGACATGCCCATAAACCCCTCATCTTCCTGAGGAGCTTCATCACTGCTCTCGTGTTCCTCAGAGCTCTGCAAGGCAATCACAGAAGCAGTCAAGGACAGAGACTGGGAGCCAAATGGCACAATCAATACATTTTCCTTACAGAATTAAAATTTTAAAAAAAAAATTTTTTTTGAGACAGGAGTCTCACTCTGTTTCCTGGAGTGTAGTGGCACGATCTCGGCTCACTGCAATCTCCACCTCCTGGGTTCATGCAATTCTCTTGCCTCAGCCTCCTGAGTAGCTGGGAATATAGACATGCACCACCATGCCTGGGTAATTTTTGTATTTTCAGTGGAGATGGGGTTTCAGCATATTGGTCAGGCTGGTCTCAAACTATGACCACAAGTGGTCCACCCACCTCAGCCTCCCAAGTGCCAGGATTACAGGCATGAGCCACCATGCCCTGCCAAATTCTTAAGGTCAAAACAAAGCCTTAGACAAGTATCAACAATGTAGTGAGTCAGTTTATTATAGAATTATTGGTATTAAAAAGAACACTAGTACTCAATTCTCTGACGATGAATGAACTATGTACTATAACAGCATCTCTATGTTTGTTTCAGTAACAAATTCCTGGCTTTACTGGTTTGTTTCTTAAGAATGATGTCACAGACCCCATAACAGTATTACATAACGTTGAGAAATTACTGAGGGGAATAACTCCAAGACTCGCACCTGGTACGTATAAAATAAATCACTGTGATACAATGTGGTAAGTACTATAGTGGCAGAAAAAGAAAGGAGAGAAAAACATTTAATAAATGTTTAAAATATATCCATCACAGAGGAAAGGGCTTTATATAGATCATCTAACTTCATCCTAACAACAACCTTATTAAGTATTCTCATTCCCATTTACCATATAAGAGCATTACGCAAAGATGTCAAATAAGCTGTCCAAGGTTAAAGTTGAAGTGGAAAAGTCAAACTCCAAAACCCACTGCCTTTCCACATTCTGGAGAAAATGACTGATTTGTCTAGGGAAATGGAAAAAAAAAAAGTGACAATCCGGTATGGTCTAAAGAGACAAACTACTAAAATTACAATTTTTGCCTCCAGATCAAGGTTCATACTGATTTAGATAACATGATAATGTGAGAAGGGCTGTGGACTGAAGTCAGGAGACCAAAGTGGTGAGGCCAGTTCTACCACTAACATCAATGAATCCTCATTGCAGATCAGTTTCCTCCTTATCTATCAAAGGAGGAGTTTAAACAATCTCTACAGTCTTCTACATCTCTAAAAAATTATGTAATTCTTTAACTCAATGAATAAGACAGCACAAGAGAACCATAATTCCATATCTAACCAAGAGTGTATCTAGATAAACTGTACTGATTAACACGACGGCATGAAGAAATCAATGAATTCTCTACCTCTAATCAAAAAAACTAATTGGTAAGAACGAACACAGAGGCAATGGGTAACCTATTACAACACTTTAAATTTGAACATATTTAAAAATAAATTCTGAGATTTTATTTCCCTATTCTTCAGTTTTTAAAACACTAACTAGAGGCTACAATGCAGCATGTGAGACATGTTATATATCCAATCTGATTTTATAAAAATATATACTCTCCAAGAAAGCCATCTTGAATAAAATAACCTCTCCATCTTTGCTTACCTAAAACTTACCTATCTATCCTTCAATGACTAACCTTCCTGTCTCCTGTCTAAAACCCTTCTTTAACTACCCTAAACTAGTATTCCTCTATCCTTCTTTCATTACTGCTACCTACAAGCCCAGGACTTTTTGTTTTGTTTTGTTTTGTTTTGAGACAGGGTCTTGCTCTGTTACCCAGGCTCCAGGCTCCTGGAGTACAGTGGTATGATCATGGCTCACTGCAGCCTCAATCTCCTGGGCTCAAGCAATCCTCTACCTCAGCCTCCTGAAAAGCTGGAGCTACAGGCATACACCATCGTGTGCACGTGCACACTACAGGTGTGCACCACTGCATGCACATGTGTGCGTGTGCGTGTCCGTGTGTGCGTGTGCGTGTCCGTGTGTGTGTGTGTGTGTGTGTGTGTGTGTGTGTGTGTGTGTGTGTGTGTAGAGATCTCACTATGCTGCTCAGCCTGGTCTTCAACTCCTGGCCTCAAGCAATCCTCCTGCCTCAGCCTCCAATGTGTTGGAATTATAGGTATGAACCACTGCATCTGGCCCTGGGACATTTTTAGATTGCTTTCCTCATCCCTATGAAATTTTAATAATACAGATATACTATCTATGTACTGTGGCCCTAAGGGGGGTTGCAAACCATAGTAATATCTAATAGTTTTTCACCCCCAACCCCACCAAGAACCAATTTTCATCAGAGACTGCATAACCTATCTAATCCACAGCAACTGCTTCTTCTTACTTCTTCTGACTTCTTTAGCACTTAAATCTGTGCCTCTCATTTGACAATAATATCTGATTACAGCTCTTCTTTTTTTTTTTTTTTTTCTTTTTTTTTTTGAGACGGAGTTTCACTCTTGTTACCCAGGCTGGAGTGCAATGGCACGATCTCGGCTCACCGCAACCTCCGCCTCCTGGGTTCAGACAATTCTCCTGCCTCAGCCTCCTGAGTCGCTGGGATTACAGGCACGCGCCACCATGCCCAGCTAATTTTTTGTATTTTTAGTAGAGACGGGGTTTCACCATGTTGACCAGGATGGTCTCGATCTCTTGACCTCGTGATCCACCCGCCTCGGCCTCCCACAGTGCTGGGATTACACGCTTGAGCCACCGCGCCCGGCTACAGCTCTTCTTTTACTGACTTATACTGTTTTATTTAATGTTTAATAAAATTTTACATTATAGTATATCATTTCCTAAACTAGATTTTAAGTGTCTTGTCTTCTTCCCCATGGCTCTTGAAACATACTGACATGATGGCTAAATTAATAAATGCTCTAGAAGATTTTCAACAGTAAATTAAAGAGGTCTGTGCCTAATTAAACATGAAATTAAAATGATAAAATTCCATCAAAATTATATGAAAACTGAAAACGTTTCAAAGAACAGCTTGAAATGATTAGCAGACTGATGTTAAAATATAAAAGTACAGGGCCGGGCGCGGTGGCTCAAGCCTGTAATCCCAGCACTGTGGGAGGCCGAGGCGGGTGGATCACGAGGTCAAGAGATCGAGACCATCCTGGTCAACATGGTGAAACCCCGTCTCTACTAAAACCACAAAAAATTAGCTGGGCATGGTGGTGCGTGCCTGTAATCCCAGCTACTCAGGAGGCTGAGGCAGGAGAATTGCCTGAACCCAGGAGGCGGAGGTTGCGGTGAGCCGAGATCGCGCCATTGCACTCCAGCCTGGGTAAAAACAATTAACCACCGTCACAAGTGAGCGTCAAAAAAAAAAAAATATATATATATATATATAAAAGTACATGTTATATAAAAAGCTCAAATATTTACATATATTCAATATGTATGATTCTTCACAAAGAAACAGAAACAAAGAGTCAATCTTTATTCTCATACAAATTGTCAGCAGTTTCAAAACTACAAATATGCATAAAAAACCACAATATGGTTAAATGTTTCCTATATTAAGACCTGATAAAATTGCAGTCTGAATCAACATGATTCAATAAGTAATCAATGAGATTACTCACAATGAGTAATTTTGATTATCAGGCTAAGTGCAACTGGATCCATAGAAGACTAATTAATGATAGAGGCCCAGAGAGGAGGATGGCTTGAGCCCAGGAGCTCAAGACCAGCCTGGGCAACGTGGTAAAACCCTATCTCTATAAAAAATATAAAAATTAGCCAGGTGTGGTGCTGCGCGCCTGTCTGCTGTCCCAGCTACTCAAGAGGCTGAGGGGGGAGGAACCCTTGAGCTCCAGGAGGTTGAGGTTGCAATGAGCTGTGATTGTGCCACTGCACTCCAGCCTGGGCAACAGAGCTACACCCTGCCTCAAAAAATTTAGTAAAGATAAATACTTCCATCCACCCCAACATGTCAGCAAGATTCAGAATCTTTATAAAAAGAATATTTCTGGCCGGGCATGGTGGCTCACGCCTGTAATCCCAGCACGTTGGGAGGCCAAGGCGAGTGCATCGCCTGAGGTCAGGAGTTTCGAGACCAGCCTGACCAACATGGTGAAATCTTGTCTCTACTAAAAATACAAAAATTTCCCAGCGAGCGCCTGTAATCCTGCTACTCAGGAGGCTGAGACAGGAGAATCACTGAAACCTAGGACATGGGATTTGCAGTGAGCCAAGACTGTGCCATTGCACTCCAGCTTAGACAACAAGAGTGAAACTACTTCTCAAAAACAAATAAAACAAAAACAAAATTTCTTTCAGAAGTGCAAAGTATTAATAAATCTGTTGATTTATCATGTATTATCATCAATTCTCACCCTTGTATAATGAAATATTCACTAATGTGTTCTCAAAGGATAAATTAAAATACTAGACCATAATTAAATATTCATTATGTTCAAATATTATACTAATGAGGTACCACATGGTGTGAGTGGTGGTAAATGCAGTTCCCTAGGTTCGACAGAGGATAATATAGGAATATGGTGGCAGAGTTGAACATTGGCTAGAACACAGGATAAAAAAATATTTTCCCGGCAGGGTGCAGTGGCTCACCCCTGTAATCGCAGAACTTTGGGAAGCCGAGGCAGGCAACTCACAAGGTCAAAAGTTCGAGACCAACATGGTGGAACCCCCATCTCTACTAATACAAAAATTAGCCAAGTGTGGTGGCACATACTTGTAATCCCAGCTACTTGTGAGACTGAGGCAGAAGAATTGTTTGAACCTGGGAGGTGGAGGTTGCAGTGAGCCGAGATCATGCCACTGCACTCCAGCCTGGGTGACACAGCAAGACTCCATCTCAAAAAAAAAAAAAAAAAAAAATTTCCTAGGGTATTCTATATGTCACATACTGATGGCTTGGAAAGACTATGCTAAACACTATATTTAAAGTCGTCTCTGTCTTCCAATATTAAGTCCAAAGATCTATTTTATTATGAGTTAATAATTACTATTTCAAATTTCCATCCAACAGCC